TTTGAATACCAGGCGAGCACTGGCATGGCATCCCAAGATAATCCCCCATGGCAACGGGGAGTACTGGGAGGCTTTAGAACAAAAGAGAGGGGTTGGTGTGCTTCAGGCAGTGGTGGACGTAGAGCAGACCTGAGTTGTATAGAGTAGACAAAAGACCAAGCAGAAGAAGCCAACAATGTGGCCCACCCCACCCCCACCCCACCTCGAGGTGCATGTAACGTTTGCTGCTGGCCTGTAAGGGTCAGGCATGGAGGGTCTCCTTCTTGCCCCTTTCTCCAGGAGACCATAGATGGACTAACCTCACAGCTGCAGGCCTTCCAAGCCAAGATGAAGAAGGTGGAAGAGTCTATTCTGAGCCAAAACTACAAGAAGCACATCCAGGTAGGTGGCAGTACACCGAGGAGCCTTTGCTTCTTGAAACTCCAGAGGCACCAGGGGGGCCAGGGTCTAGGCCCCGGGAAAGCTTGCTCCTGGGAAGTCCAAGCAGACTCTGCCTTGGTGTCCAGTTTGACCCTGCTGCACAGGGTTTTCTTGGCTGTCATCTTTAAAGGAGCACGTTGCCAGGGCAGGTTGGACCCACCAGCCTCTAGAAGAGTAGTTGAATGCAAAGTGTTTGTGCCCCCCAGAAAGTTTAAACCAAAGACCAACCTCACTGCCATCGAGTGGGCGCGGACCCCTAGTGACCGTAGGGGACAGAGTAGGAATATCCCTGCGAGTTTCCAAGACTGTAACTCCATCATGCCTGGACTTTGTCTGAGAGGGCCACGCTTACTACCAGAAGCTCTTAGGAGCCTAGACTTAACCACTAGGAACAGTGCCCCCAGTCTGGTCGAGTTTCCACTTCTTCCAGAGCTCTCATTGGCTCCCATTTCTGTTTTTTTGGCTTTTCTAATTGTATTTATTTTAGATATCATCTTTTGTCTTCTACTTTGAAAGATGGGGACTTTAGCATCTCTCATACTTCTTCCAAATTCAGAAGTTTTTTTATTGCCTTGTGATATAATATTGCATTATATTATCGTGATAGGGTTTAAGTCCATTTGGATGTGCCAGAATTCTCCTATGATATGATCTAACACAGTGTGGTCAGCTCCATGTTAGGATGTCTGCCAAGCAACCAAGTAGGTTTTTAAAATTATTATTAAAAAACCATTTTATTCACAGCTCTTATAACCATCCATGCATCAATTGTAGCAAACATATTTGTACATATGTTGCCATCATTCTTTTCTAAACATTTTACTTTCTGTTGAGCCCTTAGTATCAGCTCCTCTTTTTTCCCCCTCCCCACCCACCCTCGTGACCCCTTGATAAATTATAAATTATGATTATTTTCCTATCTTACCCTGACCGCTGTCTCCCTTCCCCCATGGTTTCTGTTGTCTGACCCCCTGGGCGAGGGGGTGGTGGTTTGTGTTGATCATTGCAATCGGTACCCTCTTCCTTCTATGAACTTTCATTAGCTCCTACTGTATTTCTTTCCTTTCCTGTGGAAAAGTTGTTTTACTTGTCTTCATACCTACTATATTTCTTGTACAGCCCCAAATCCAGGAGACAGAATGATGACTAATAGCGTCCGAGATTCGGACTGCTCTGAAGCCAGGTTATCTGGGGCGGCTCTGGTTCTTGCCTTGGCTCCGAGCCTTCTAGATGCAGATGCTTCGAGAGAAGCCTCTGGAGACCTGCATTTCTAGAGGCCTCCTTTCCCTACAGTTCTTC